ATATATATATATATATATATATATATATATATAGGCGTAAGTTCGTATAACGAAGTTTCGTCGAAATCACGAATGGGCTTGTGCATAGAAATAGAAAATGTACCTTTTTCTAAGGCTTCAATCTGCTCTTGACTGAACGAAGTGCGGTTCCGCTGCAGTTTGCGCTTCAATCGCATCCTTGCGGCGGCATCCTCGTCCGGGTCATTGGGTGGCTTTTGGTCCTCATCTGAAACTTCTGTAGTTGTCTCAGATGCCAGATATGTTATTTCATTTTCTGTAGTATTCCACTCCTCCTTTTAACCGCCTGTTGCTTCGCTGTATTGCCCACAATTCTGACTCATACCACTACTTTGTTGCACTAAACTTTTAAATAAATAAGTTCCTATTCTAAGCCGCAATTCCTCGGTCTTCCGGTGAGTTGCGATTTTTCACAGAAACGCGGTAGAACCAAGACAAATGACTCTACTCACTGTAGAACTAGTGATGCCACTGTGAGTTTCAACAGTAGCAAGATTACACAGCGGATAGTTTCACTGCTGCACACAAAATGTGGTCATAAAGCGCCATGATCATTTAGCTAAAAATCTCTAAATGCAATTTGTCCGGTTTGAGTGAAAAAAAAATTTGAATCTATATTTAGACTTGAAGTAGACACAGTAGGTCTGAAAAGTGAAAATTTTTCCTTAGTAAGCTAATCCTCCAAAATTTTTAATTTGCGTCTTATCTCCTTGTGAGTTTTTATCAGCGAGCACTTAACTGAGGTAGCGTAGGTCAACTGAAGTAGCGTAGGTCACTGAGGTAGCGTAGGTCACTTAACTGAGGTAGCGTAGGTCAGGGAACAGTAAGATCTGGATGCTAATTTCAGACACTTATCCTATGCTGAACTTGAAACAAGCTCTTTCAATTTTGACTTTCGACATCGTATCTGCTTGCCTTTATTAATGTGCTGGCCAGATTTAGGAATAGAAGTTAAAGTTCAGAACATGGGGAGGTGTAAAATCTGCCTTCGAGATTGTTTTCAGTTTTAGAGATGTTGGGTAATCTTTGGAATAAAATTTCTACTTTTTGAGATCACAGACCCAAAATTAGATTTAGCCAGACATACAAACAGTTCGATCGACTGCATGCGATAATACTTTTCTAATCCTGACAGAAAACCATAAGAAATCACTTAACTTAGAATACTTCTCTTAAAAATAAACTTTAGTGTTTAACTGCATAAAACAAAATTGCGTAATGGCAAAGACATACATGTTTGTCTGTGAGTCTGAATAAATCAGCTTAAAAACTAACACAAGTAAGAGAGCTAAAATCTAGAAAAGAATTCACGACCGTCTGCAATGCCAAGAAGCAGCATTCAACATTTAAACTCTTCTTTGGCTCACGCCCAAAAGTAGGCCGAGAGTGCATAATTAATCGTAAACGAACGTGAGATGAGTGGTTTGGAATCAGCTTTTAGACTTCACTGTCTCATATACCATGAGCTAGAATTTAGGCTAGTATCGTAACTGCAGGACACGGCAAAAGCCTGAAATTTTGAGAATTTGGTTGAACGAACTACGTAAGAGGAAGGACCTAGATTTGTGAACGAGATCGTTTATATCCTGTGTTATTACTTCAAGTCCACATACAGGCTGATTTATAACTCTAGGGCCTATTAGGTCAGAAATTGAAGTTTTAACTAGCTGTAATTATCAAATGAGCAACAGGATTACTCCGGTGCAGTAAACTCATCATTTGTTTGTTTTAGCTAGACCACTCAATTTACGTTCACAGAAATTAATCGGTTATCCTGAACAGTCGCTTCATCCACTTCCCATCAATTTCTTGTGGTTTGTCGCATACAACATCACCATTCCGACGGCCGGAATTATAAAGGCTCTCGACCGCGGTGCGCATTGACAACACTCCTTTAAAGATGGTTATTGTGGCGAAACCACTGGAAGACGTCATGATCGAGCAAGATGCAGGTATTATCGCCTTTCGCTTTTACGTTTAGCGCAAACCAAGTCCATCGCCACTCCGAATCTTTTCATAAACAGGTATTAACAGTAGTTTTTTCGTCTTTGTCGACGATGCCAATCCAATACCCTTTGAGTTTCTGTCATCCACGTCGTATTTGCCAATATGCTTCTCCTAAGCCTTCCCCACCTTGTCCAAGTTTCCCATTGGAATTACTCATAAGAGTTGTGGAAGTAGACTTGATGTCAGGAATTGATATGATCATTGCACGCAAATGGAGGAGTAACGCGTGGAGCTGCAGTGTGGAAACGCGTTACAGGTAGGGTATAAATCTGGCTCACATGTTACATACATAAGGTATTCGAGTTTCTTTCAGTACTGTGCGCGTTAGTAGATTTTCTCAGCAGTGTGGGATCAGTCGACTCTACTTAATACATCCGGTACATTTCAAAATTGCTTCTATTTTGCTTTTGTGCTGTCGTGAACCTTCGAATTCCCCAAGTTGATTCTAAAAGGCATTGAAGACGCTGCTGCACATTGCGCAGTTTCATGTTTACAGCCCTTTGGTCTAGTCCATATGAACGCTCATGAGCAGCTAGAATGAGGCACTTTTTGGATTCCTATGAGTTGAGACTGTAAGCGATCAAGTACCGCGATGGATCACTGTTGACAGAACACGAAAATTCGGTGATGGGGTGTGGCTTGAACTGAGTGTACGCTCATCACGCGTTGCCAATATTACTATAAATATTTCATGACTTTTTTGCTGCTGGGGCTGCATACTGACACGCTCACAGTAAGAAGTGATGCACAACGGTTGCGCACAGGTGGTTGAAAGGTGCAAACAAGCATTTCGATCGAGCAGTCATTGAAACAATTGGTTCCCCTTCGGCATAAGTAGAACCAGGAATGATATGAAAGAATCGACGACTGTGTCATGACACTACCGGCAGGTGATGAATGAGCTTGTGTCGCCCCCGATCGTACTGACTGATGCGTTGAAAACAGTATAATCAGTCGACAGACAGCCCTCCTTTTCTCCATATCGCCTATCACCATCAACCATTACTGTAATGCCTTCTTGCTAATCCCGAATAGTTGGAATTCCAACAGGATGTTAAAGATTTCGACATTTTGATTCGCTATTCCCCGTCCTACTCTGCTCTGCTGCTTAACAAGAAATTTTTTGAAAACATTTTGAAGAAACAGCAAACATATTCACCCATGCTCTGTCCTAACGGAAAATGCAGTATTTAGCGCTTAGATTCAATGCAGTGCAACAAGAAAGTTTCAAGTGGTTGCGGACAAGGCATCTCGGTGAACCAGCTATTTTATGCGCTTTTGCATAGTTCGGACCCAAGCTACCATGCACTAGGCTTGCTGATGCAATTATGCGTTTTTGCATTAAATTTGAAGCAGATGACTTACGACATAAGTGTTCCTCAGCAACAATTTAACACGTGTACTCATGTTGACTGTGTTTTAGCCTTATCTCGTACACAGGGGAACCCAGGCTGGAACAAACCAGACGAGCCAGTGCGATCATGCTTTTTTGCACTATTTCGTGCTGCAGCAAGATCGAAAGGAATCACAGTAGCTAGAATTTGTGACGTACTGGCCCTTGAAGTTCAGGAAGTTAACTGTGTAACTACGTGGTATGTCCGTTTTAGATGCTAGCTTCACTGACCCGAGAAATGGAAGTTTGCTGGTGTGCGAAAAAGGCCTCACTAGAAGAGTTGAATTTGAAATCTTTTACTCGTACATGAGTAAAGAACACTCTCTCAAAATTCCAGCCTTTCAGCTTTCTCATACCCGAGTTAGCAATTTTCCTGCCAAAAATTTCACTCGCCAGTATGTGAAAAATGATCGGTTCTATGGAACTGAATTTGAAATCTTTTGGTCGTACGTAAGTAAGGAACATTCCCCTAAAGTTTCAGCCTTTCAGCTTTTCTCATTCCTAAGTTAACACTTTTCGCGCTCGCACGCAGGGCTCAAGGGTGAGTGAAGGTTGATACTGTAGACTTGGGGTGGTCGCGGCACAAGTGCAAATCGGAATTCGTTTTAGGTATACGATTTCCCATAAGGACGATAAATATCCTGGCAAATCTTCAGCATCTGTTTTCCGGCTGATTTTCAAGTTTGCACAGTGCCAATTGCGATTTTTGACGTAACCTTACGCTTTGTGTGAAACGCGCGCAAAAGCTAAACTTGAAGTAATTAAGTCAACAGCACGAACAGTTTTTTCTTCGCACCTATCTTGTACGCTCAATATCGTAAATCATCGTAATTTTTGCATAAAAGGAAATAAACAATCCCCGTTTAGCGGTCGTTTTTGAAAATGACCCAGCTGTTCAATGAGCAATTTTTCCGCCAAAAATTTAAGTGCCTGTACACGAGTACCACGCATACCTAGAGTCAGAATTTGAAACTTTTAAGTTGTATTGGACGGGGAATATTTTCCTAAAATCTCAGTTTTCCAGCTTTTCTAGTTCCTGGGTTAGCCATTTCCCTGCCAAAAAGTTTCACGGGGCCGTACGTGGGAACCGCGCATGCTTGGGGGCTAGGTTTGATAATTCTATGTTCTACATGAGTTGCGAACATCTTTTTAAAATTTCAGCCTCCCAGCTTTCCTGGTTCCCAAGTTAGCGATTTTCACTTCAGGAACCCTCACGGAGCTGTACACGAGAACCATGCACAACCGAGACTGAATTTGAAATGTTTGAATTCTATGTGGACGGGGAAAATAGTAGCAAAATTTTGACGCCGGAGCTTGCTTGGCTGCCGAGTTGAAATACCCGGACAAGCGAACACACACACACACACACACACACACACATACACACAGACAGGGTCGTTGCAGTATGCGTTTTTGCAATTTGCATGTAAGCAAAAAAACGCATAAAAACGCGCAACGAGAAATATCATGGCGTTATACATTTGCAAATGTACTCCTGGGCAGCATATACTGGGCCAAAGAAAATGGAAATCGTCTTTTAGACCTTGTCAGCTTGCGACTTCAGGTTCAACATCAATTTTGGTAATATGGTCTGCGCATACAAAGAACACAAGCGAGGAATTTGACAAATTTTCTGCATCCCAGCAATGTGTAAGGCAATTTCGCGTGAATTAAACTATTATCAACTAAGTGTGTCAAAAATACGGTTACAAAATCAAATTCAGAGTAATTACATAAAATCGGAGCTACGCAAGTTATAAACTTGGATTTGTAAAGTTTTATCTCACCACGTTGATCAAACTGATTTCACCATATGGTGCAAAATAAATGGCTTAGAATTAATTTTGATCCTGGTGGACGAATTCACAGACATTCTGACCAATGGACTCGTGGGCAATTTCAGACTGAGCATATCCAAAGCAAGCCAAAAATCTAAAAATTCTATAGGTTTATACTTTTTAGATGAGTAAAAGGAACATCCTCATAAGGCGAACGTAATGGTATTTCAAATCGCTATGGCCTTAAAACAAATTATTAGCAACAATGCCTAGCTGCAACGATGCGCTGGTGTTATGGAAAAGCATATGTGATGCGAGAATAAAGTCTCCATGCCACTGTTTGCCTGTAACCTTCTGTTTAAAGATCAAGCTTGCTGATCTGTCACGAAAAAATACTGTTTAGATTTATATCACTGACGAGCTCTAAATCGTTCATGCAAACTTTTGAAAGGTACAAGGCAAAAAGCCAAAATAGAACTATTATTCGCTACTCAATGGAACTATTATGGAACTGTAGTATGGAACTATGGAGCTTTATTATGTTATGGAATTACGGAATAGAACTATTATGGAAATATTCACTACTCAAATTCTCTACGTGTGTTATCAGGCACAAATGAAGACGTGCGACCAATAATAGCAGAAGCATAAGCATACATTGAGAGGATTTTTGATAACTACTGCTTTACAACGATTATTTCAAAAAATAAAGACAATGTAAGCTTCTGAACTGCGAAGCAAGCCACAGTCAACTCGACAATGATCATTGTATACTCAAAGGGGTTTGACTATCCAAGCTATGAGTTTTACACCATGGACGTCAAGCCGGGATTAAAAGCCGAGGTCCCTATATTTGCTTGTATCGCAGAAGCCGAGTTGTGTTACGCATCACTGAAAGTAAGTTTGGAACAGGTAACGAGTGTTAGTGAAGTGGAACGAATAATGGCTGCAACATACCTCTGCACATTCCATTAACGATCGCTTATGAACAAGCGAAATTTTGATGTTGTAAAGATGCTGACTGCAACGATAATGGTATAGGAAGGTTTGGATCCGGTAAAGTTCATTTTCTTACCGCTACTGCTACATTTTTAGATACTGACCAGTGGCTGAAGAGCTTCAAAAGTTGCAAGGGAGAAGCAATGCGTTAACTACTGGCGGTAATGAATTGCGTACTAGTAATTGTGGGTACGTGGAAGCATTTCTGACTAGTTGAAGCATTTTCGGGTACGCAGAATCAGTTTAATCAACGAGACAGTTCAAAAAACCATCAGTTGCTTTTCCAAATAAAGAGATTACAAGCACAAAGGTAACTCCAAACAGCGAAATGCAACTAGTCTCAACAAGTTTACAGATCAAAGCTGGAAGCCGAACGGTAAGCCTGCAAACTTTGAGAACGAAACAGTAAAGTTGCCTCATCGTTGCAGAATTTCAGACAAGGACGAAAAGGCATAAGAGGGAAATGACCCTCAGAGACCGATCAATTGCTCCAGTGAATGTGTCAAGTCGATTAACTGAACGCACGTAACCGGTACTGCATTCATGCAGTACTCAATCAGCAGGTATCCATCCTTAAACTCACCTCATTAATGTACAACACGCGTTACGATTCAAGATTAGAGTTGAAGATTTGAGCACTGTAGGCAAAACTGTTCTGCTACCAGAATAAGCATAATGTACTCCACATCGCTTTTCATAAGATATAGTGAAATTCACTTTTTTCGAGGAAGAAACTGAATAATTTTAAAAGCTCTGTGTATTAAAATCTTCATTGGCTCAAAACGATTTCTTGCCGATGAGGGATTTAGTGATACGCCTGCAAAACTGTACTTACTGATAATCTTTTAGAAGGAATTGCAAGAAGCCATCAAGACCCTCATGGAAATTTGCTAAAAAAGCCAACTTTCGAAAAATTCTGCCTACGTCACCCTTAAGAAGCACAAAAATGCTGTTTTCTTTTATCTTCAGGCTAGCGGTGCGCTAAATTAACTATGACAGTTCAGCTACAGCCTGCTTCTGAGAATCTCCCTGGCTTTACAGTTCTCGATAAAAAACCAGAGAAATTTCTAAAATATATTGGTTTTTGTTTGCCAGTAGCTAATTAGCAAGTTTTTTTTTCTTGCAAATTAGTGCTAAAAAAATTCATTTATTATGCGTTTTTGCATTTATGTAAATTGCAAAAACGCATATTGGGAAGAGGCTGTCTGTG